GGAGTATGAATGCCTGCTGGCAAACTCGAGGTTTTGAGTTTGATCCCTGGCACCAAACAAAACAAAACAAACAAATCAAAAATGAAGTCTTTCTATGCAGTCAGGTTGGGCTGAACTGATCATCTTCCTGTCTCAGCCTCGTAATTTTTAGGATTGAAGGCACGTACCACCACATCCACCTTTGCCTGGAAATATTGTTGAAATTCCCTTTTGATTTCCTTTTTTGACCCAGAGGTTTTCAAGAATATTCTGACATTGCCTAAAAGAAAAAAAAGTGCTGTCTAAATGTGGATTTTTCAGGCCGGGTGTGATGGCTCATGCCTGTAATCCCAGAACTCAGGAGGTTGAGGCAGGAGAATCCTTGAGAGTTCAAGACCAGCCTGGACTACAAAGTGAGCTCAAGGCCAGCCTGAACTGCATAGCGAGACCCTGTCTCAAAATGACCAAAAAAAAAAAAAAAAAAAAAAAGTGGATCTTTCATTTAGTTACTGTTCTTAATTTTTAGTTTCATTTCACCATGGCTAGAAAAGTTACATGGATTCATTTGGTAATTTAGAATGTTCTAAGAAGGGTTTTTTGGTGACCTAAATATGATCTGTGCTGGAGAAAGAGTGGAAAGCTCTTTATGTATCTGTTAGGTTTATTTGGAGTGTTGTATTCAAGTCAGTTGTTGACTTAATAATTTTCTGTCTGGATGAACTTTTTATTACTGAAAAATATTAAAGTCTTCTATCACTATAGTACTGCTGTCAGTTTCTCTCCTGCTGTGTCCACATTTATTTAATTTTATTTTGCAGTATTGGTGTTTGAGTCCAGGAAAGTCTAGGCAAGGACTCTAACAATATATCCCCAACCTTTTAATATTTGTTCATATGCTGATATGTTGGGCGCATATGTACTTATAATTGTTATGTTTTTCTGTTGAATTGACCCTTTTGTCATGATAGATGACTTTTTTCCCCCCAGAGATAGTTTTTGACTTAAAATGCATTCTTTGGATGTAAGCATAGTGTATATCATGGAATATCTCTTCATCTCCCTTCAGTCTGTGTATGTATGTCTTTAAATGTAAAGTGAAAATTTCCCCCATTACCATGGTATTTATTTGAACTAAGAGGAAAAGGTCTTAACATTTTCATGCAATATATTCTTGGTTCTTTGAATAATAATTGTGGCAAGTAGCAGAAAGAATGAAGCAAAATTAATGGAATTTCAGGCAGTGTTAAGAGTAAACATTAGACTCTGGAGAACATGGCGGACAGACAACAGCAACTACTGAACGCTCTCTAAAGGCTCGGCTCAGAGGCCAGGAATGATGCGGACTAAGGAGATACGAACCAGTAGAGATATGCTCTGCTGACTCAGGAACAAACTGGGCTGAGAGAATCCAACTTGGAATACAGTCCTGGCGCTAAAATAGGAACAGAAAAATCTCGGTGTGGAGGCTCGACTCCGCGCCATTGGAAACCGCGGTTTGGATTTCCTGCCGCGCGGCGGCCGGCTACCTCCACAGCGGCTCAGCAAGGAGAGACGCGACCGCCGAGCTCGGGAACGGAGTCGGAAACGCGACGGACAGGAAGGAAGGCTGACTGGAGGCGAGGTGAGCGAGGAACTGACTCCCTACCGCAGTCTGACTCCAGCGGAGGATTTTCTGGGCGCGGGCAGTCCTGTAAGAGCAGGGCGCGGCGGCAACTGCAGCCGCACGGTTCCCTCTCGGACGGGATTGGTGAAAGGTGCCTGGCTGGAGGGACGCTGCTCGCGGACCCCCTAGGCTGGCCTAGCCCAGATCCCAGAGCCTGACGGTGGCCCGGAGGAGCGACCGACTTCCGCGTAGGCTGCCTCCTCCGCAACTCCCTGGGGCGCAGCAGTGAGCTGGAACAACTAGCCAGCGCAATTCGATCAAGCTGTAGCTGACAGGCAGGGAAGCCGGGCCTCCTGTGTAAGATTACATTTCATAAGGAACAGAAAATATGGGGAAGGGAAGCAACAAAAAAGGCTCCTCGACCCCCAATCCTGAGAATCAGGCAATAGTGGACACTGTACCAATATACATTAAGCGCCATTTAGAGAGCCTCATAGACCAATTCAGGAATGAAGTTATCAATGACCTGAAGCTAGAAGTATGCAGAATAGTTAGAGAAATGCTAAGCACCACCCAGGAAAAAGCAGATGGTGGAGTGGAAGAACAGAAAAAGAGGGGAGAATTGCTTGATGGAGAAAACAGAGAAAGCATGGAGTATGTGAAGCAGGTGCAAAGGGACTATCAAGAAATCAAGAAGTCTACCCAAGACTGGCATAACAGCTTGAAAGAAACTAAGGACAGACTATCTGAATTGGAGGGCAGACTTGAAACATGGGAGAATGAAATGAAAAACTTCTTAAAAATAACAAAGAAACACACAGCAATAATACAAAGACAAGAAGATGATAAGAGGAGCCATAACTTAAGGATTAAGAACATAAAAGAAGAAGTAGGGACACAAACAAGTGAACTACAAAAGCTACTCACAGAAATAATCCAGGAGAATTTTCCTAATTTAGCAAAAGGTAAAGATACTCAAATGTATGAGGCATACAGGACCCCAGCTACCTACAACCCTAACAGAGAAACACCCAGACATATAATAATAAAAATTCCAGAAATTCAATACAAGAACAGAATATTAAAAGCTGTAAGAGACAAGAAACAGATCACTTACAAGGGAAGACCCATCAAAATTACAGCAGATTTCTCTTCACAAACCATCAAATCACGAAGAGCATGGGGAGAAATAATTCAAGCTTTGAAAGATAGTAATCTACAGCCAAGATTGAGATATCCTGCACAACTGTCCCTGGAAATTGATGGAAAAACGAGGTGCTTCCAAGATAAAGAGGAACTGGGGGAATTTGCAACCACCAATTCAACCCTACAGAAAGTATTGCAGGATATTCTAAAAAAAGAAAAATACAAAGAACCCAGAAATAGGGGCGGGGAGGCCACAACGAATAGAGCAGAGAACAAAACGAAGAAGACAAACTGACAGCTACTGACAGAAAAAGAGCTCAACAGAAATGAGACAGAGAAGATTGGATGATAGGAACAGCTTTTTTTGGAGAAAATGACATCTTAATAGGTAATGCTGATTTAGTACCATCTTGTTTTGAAGTCTCATCTAGCTTTTGTTCTTCTGTCTCCAATGGTCTAAACAGGTTGTATCTTATTGGATTTTGTTATGTACGATAGTATAAGAAAAAACCTTTTAAAGACAAGGAGATTATACAGAGACCATTGTTCATTTTCTGTTAGTCGATTCTAAATACTCTATAATGCTGTCATTCTCTTAAATGGATTTACATTGTTTTGATATACTTAATGCTACAGTATATGAAGTTGTACTCAAGGACTTCAGGGAGGGAGTCAATATGGTAACCATTTTTGGGTCAGGATTAGCTGGTGGTGAAACACTATTCTGCTTAAATGGTTATGTTTTGATCTGCCCTGTTTCGCTGTTATGCCCTCTTTTTTTCTCAATCTCCACTCCATTATTTACTTTTTTATTTTTATCCATTTAATTACAGGGAAAAATATAGCAGGATATAATATAGTAACCCACTTTGACTTTCTATTATCTCGATTTGAAGCCCTGTATTACTCTCACCATCTTGTTTTTGACTGAGGTTCCTATATTCTGTTTTGCTGGATAGTATCAGGTTTGAAAGTTTAGGCATCAGCTGAGAAGATAATGAGATTCATTATAACGCCCATTCTCGTTGACTTTTATCTACTTTCGAAGACCTACAATATCTCCAATGTTTTGGTTTTGTCGGTTTTATTCTTTACGGTTTTGTTCAATTGTATTACAACTAATGATATAGGCAATTCTATTAGAAATAGCAGGAGGCATTATGGTAACCATTGTTGATCACCTTGTATTATGTTTTTTATATTATCTATTATGTCCACCCTTTTGACTTGACCGATTCTGTTCTGTTATGTCACATTTGGTTTTACTCTCTTCCAAAAAAGCAACAAGAACTGTGGGAGCAATGAAACCCAAAATGTGTAATAGTCACTGTACAAAAGAGAGGAAAAGAAAGTGCTCTAAACTATATAACTGCATGTATATTTAAAAGTATAAGATAGAAAATGATATCACAGAGTTTTATTGGATCATTGAACAGAACTGTTTGCAGTATCATTGTTGGAATGTCCACTCTACAAGCTTTAATTTTGTGACTTGAACAATTATTTCTAAGATGGCAATATGTAATCCATTAACTAGTGATTTCCTACTGCGCATTTTTTTATTCTGTAAACCTGTATAACTTGTACCCCTTCACTGTTTTTTTTTTCTTTCTTTTCTTTTCTCCTTAAATAAAAATTAAAAAAAAAAAAAAGAGTAAACATTAATGTACAGTTGGAAAAATGTTTTGGAGAGGGACGAGAGTATGTCATTTTTACAAAATACAACTGAACAGTGGTCCATCTCTCTTATGAGTATAGGTACACATGGCCAATGGTTTATTTCTCTGTCATTTATCACTGCTCAAAAGAATGGTGAAATCAGTTCCATTTTCTGTACATCTATTTTCTTAGAAGGAAAAAAAGCAGAGAAAAAAATCTGAGATAAATGCTAGAGACTCTTTCATTTTAATCCTAATCAACATAATTGTGGGATTTGAGAACCATCGTTTCTTCTTGCTTAATAGGATTAAGTAAGATTGACAATCAATTTAAGATATATTTCATGAGTATCTAGGAACTGTGGCTGAGCAAACCAATTTTTAAACAAATTTGAATATCAGTTTCTATAGGCAGCCCCAGAACTTGATTCATTTCCTGAAAAATTACTTCTGCTTTTGTCAAGTTTCCTGCTACCAGTTGAGAGACTGGGTTGTCTCCTCACTGCCACATGTCTGTACCCTAACTCTTACCGCAGAGTGTAAAAGAATACAAATAGATGGAGCGAAGTGCCAGTGACATTTATTTCACCTTAAATTTCCCCACTGCATTCCAGGCCCAGGATAACTACAGACCACAGCAAAATGGTGAGTTAACGTGAGTGAACGTGAGAACTGCAGGTGAGTACAGGTCAGTGATGAATGAAGAGCATGGAGTAAGTTTGGGGAAGTGGGTACAGAAAAATTGAAGATTACTGGGAGAATTACTTTGGGTTCAGTTTGAAGTCCTGCGCTGGACTATAGAAATTTGGTTATGGAATGGGATATGATCTCAGGTCTCAGATCTTGGGTAAATCTGTGTCAGTCATTAACTTCTAGAAGCTCATCTAATGCCAGGTAAGGGCAGTACCATTATCCTTTACTGCTCTTGAAATAAAGCAAGAACTTTGTTGTGAGGGTTTTTATCTCCATGTTTAGAAGTGACTCAGACCAGTTACTTAAATTGTAGACATCTTTATTTTTCTGACTATGAAATGAGAAAAACATCAATGATTTTTCTAATAGGTAACAGTAAAACTTTGTCAGGAAAAAACCCTGATCATTTCCTGTCCCCAGAGATAAACAACATTAACAGATTCTTAGGTATACTTGTAGAGATATTGCTACACCCTGTTCTGAGGAACATGTCTTATCCTTACTTATATATTTTGAAAATCAGTCCATATAAGAAAAAAAAAAGTGCATTTCTTTGTTAGAAGTAGCATATTTACTTCATGGTTGTATCAAAGTGAATTTGTTCTTTGGTTGATGGTGAATAGCTGTAAAGACATTTTGCACATTGGTAAGTATCAACAGGGAAAATGTCTCAAAGAGAAATTGCTGGGCTAAAGTGTGAATGCCTTTGTAGTTTTGGTAAATAGTGTCAAATTGTTGCCTGAATTCTGAAGAAGTTGCATCAGTTTATATTCTTACCACAAAAGTATGAAAACATATACACCACAATTTAAGTGGAAAGAGTTTTCCTTCTTTCTTTCTGCTTTCTTTTTTTGTCTTTTTGATACAGGGTCTTGTTATGCAGTTCAGGCTGGCCATGTGCTCACTTTGTAGCTGGTTGTGAATTTGCAATGATCCTCCAGCCTCAGCCTCTTGAGAGCTGGGATTACACACGTGGGCCACCATACCCGGTGGAAAAAGTTTTCTTTAACATGATGAATATAACATTTTCCTTGAGATATTGCTGGCGGGTACCTAGGTCTTTAGGTCAAGTCCCTGACAACAAGGAGAGGAATCTTTATGACCTCTTGTCTCAAGTTCCTTCTAGGTCAAGGTACTTGAAGGATCCCAGATACCCTTCTATTCTTATCTTTTCTTTTGGCCTTTCCTCAGACTTAAGATTTTACTTTGGATTCTGTTTTTACAGCATTTTTTTCTAGGTGTTCTCTTTTCTATATTGTGGCAATAGTTCTGGGACTTTTGAATGTACTTCTTATAAGTTTGCTGCTGTACCAGTGGATTCTGTGCAAAGGTGAGTTCTGATTTAAACCAAAATTAATCTTTCATTTTACCCTTTTTAAATTATAAAACAATACCACACCACAGAAAATTTGAAAGATGAAAAAATAATTTCAGCAAAATAAGTTACTGCCTGTACACAACTATTTTCTTAACATGACCTCCCCATTTGACTAACATATTTATTTAACATATTTATTTTTTAACATAATTACAATCAGTCCTCTTAAAAATCACTCCCATAATTTTGCTTTTTAAAACAAGACAGAAAAATTCTGATCATAATATACCTATAGTTTTGTATATTGCTTGTAAATTTTATATGGTGCCATAAACCTTTTCCTACTATGACATTTATCAAGGTAATTAAATTATAACATTAATGGTGTCTGTCCTTCCACATAATAGATGTTGCATAATTAATTTAGCATTCTGAATTTTTTTTTTTTTGCCACGTAAGAGCTTTCATATCTTCTAAAATTAACTTTTCTAGGTTTAGTTCTTCCAGGTACTTAAATGTAGTGATCAGGAGCTCTCAGATTATTGTTTCATAATCTAGAGTCCTCACTTAGCTCATGTTATGGGGGGTGATTGCTTATACAGAAATTGCTGGTACAGCTTGTATAGAATTAATTCCTAGGATTCTAAGGATCTCTACCTCATACTCAAGTCCTACGTTTGACAGAAAGAAACTCTTAAGGATGTTAGGGGTTTCTGATGCAGGAGATGGAAAGCGTCACGATTGTATGGAAGAAAAACATAAATTTGTAAAGTGCTGACTTAAGTAGCTAGTCAGGTCTTTCCACAGAAGTTACCTAATCATTATAAGAGAAAGGACTGCTTCCCACTTTCAAATCCCCAAACTGAGACTAGACATGCAGTCTCTCTACACATGTGCTCAGTTGGAGAATTGGCCTTATGGGGAGATTATGTGTTTCAGAAAATCTGGTTAGGAATTTTCTCAGAATCTCATCCCCTTTCCTTTTGATAGAGCTACCATGCAATCATTTTAGCAGACTGGGGATCGTACGTGTTTAAATGGCTGGAGTGAAGAGAATTCTGGCACTTTTCACTTTAACATCTGATATTCTTCTGTCAGAATTTTGTAAATAAATACTAAAGTAAATAATCTTTGCTGAGGTATAAGTATGCTGTCCAATTTCCAGTGCTCCAGGTAATTACATCTGGGATAATAAACCTTTTAGTCTGGTCATTTGTCCTTTCTGCTTTCTTTCCTTTTCTCACCATTGTGGTGTGTCATATGGACATGAGGTGTGTGGAATGACCCTGCCTGACTAAAGCAGTGTGCACCGTGCAGCCACAGTGGCTGTGCTGAGATGTGCAGACAGCATGTGGAGGTGTGTCAGGCAGGTGCACACTATTCTATGAGGTGTGTATGTAGCAATGTACGTGAAGAATTTTTAGCATGAACAATGTTCTTTTCTCACTGCTCTCAGGCAAATTGTACAGCATTTTCCCCCTGTGTCTTTGCTCTTTGCTTCATGGAGTATGCTTTAGTGCTTATGGAGTTGGAGGCCATGAATTGTTATGCATTTCTTCAAACCTTAAGGTGAAAGGTGGAGATCTGAATCATCTTCCTCTTCCATTCTAGGCCCCGGTGACTCTGCTTGTGCCAGCTGTTCTAGCTGCCCAGACTTCTGGATGAGATATAAGAACCATTGTTATTATTTCTCAGTGGAGAAAAAGGACTGGAATTCTAGTTTGGAATTCTGCACAGCCAGTGACGCACAACTCCTTATGCTTATGGACAATCAGGAAATGGTAAATAAAAGCATTTAGAAAATGTAGGCTTTTAGCCAGCCATGGTGGTACCCACCAGTAATTCCAGGATTCTGGGAGGCTGAGGCCAGAGAACTAGTAGATTGAACCCAGTCTGGAGTCACAAGACACTGTCTCCAATTTTATGTTATGTAACTTTATTTTTGGTACTGGGGATTAAACTCAGTGACCTCACACTTGACAGGCAGATGCTTGTGCCACTAAGCTAAACTCCTGGCACCTACAATTTTTAAAAAAGGGTTGGAGATATAGATCAGTGTAAAGGCCCTGGGTTAAATCCAGGTACCAAACATTAAAGGCAAACAACACACACACACACACACACACACACACACACACACACACACAGAGCAATGTACATTTTTTTGGCACTGGGATTTAACCCAGGACCTTCACAGTGAGCTATATCCCTAGATCTTTTTATGTATTATTATATTATATTATTAGATATATTATATTACATTAGAGTCTTTCTAAATTGTGAAGTTGTCCAGGCTGGGTTCTAACTGGTGATCCTCCTGCCTCCGCCTACCAGACTGCTGGGATTACAGGCTTGTGTCACCATGCCTGCCTAATTAAATGCTTTCTTTTTAATGTTTGCCTTTCATTCATTGGAATTTAGTAAGTTCTAGACTGGGAACAATGTTCAGAAATTTGAGATAAAAGGAGGAAAGTAAAGAAGGAGGGGAGAGAAGAGGTAGGAGAGATTGTGTGCTTAAACACATGCAGAGCTCAGGTGGCAGAGATAGTAGGTCTTCTCTTCCTACCGATTTCTCAAAACCTTCTTGTGTACCCAGAAGTCTCTTTCTGAGAAGTCGCTGTTAGTCTTGAACATCTCTGTTGGTCTTTTTTTTTTTTTTTTTTAATCGGTACTGGGGGTTGAACTCACGACCCCGTGCTTGCAAGGCAGGCATTTATGCCGCTGAGTTAAATCCCCAGTCCCGGTCTTGCACATCTCAAGGAAATACGAGAAACTGACATTCTGGTACAAGAATCAATCAGATTCAATTAGAATGGACATATACAGTGAAAATAAGAAATCTCAGTTTGATTTTTAGTGCTAATTTCATGCTGACTTTTACACTTGATTTTGTGGTTTTCTTTCTTTTTTTTTTTTTTTGAGAAAAAGCAGATTACAGATCTATTTATTAAGAATTTAACTATTAACTCTTGGGGGAAATCCAGAGAGGCAGTTACCCTAAAGCAGTTAAGAACATATAGACCTTATATTTCTTTCTTTCTTTTTTTTATCGGTACCAGGGATCGAACTCACGACCGCCTGCTTGCAAGGCAGGTGCTTATGCTGCTGAGCTAAATCCCCAGCCCCAAGACCTTATATTTCATAACTTCCTATATTAAGATAAGATTCAAGCATCTAGATTCTTGTTTTTGTCAAAATAACACTTATTCCTCTGAAATTCTAGGTAGAATCTAAGCTCCAAGTGAGTCCCTTTCTGTGACTTACCCTTTCTGCACACCCTTGCTCTGTGGCAGAATGCACTGGGCTCTGTGCAGTAGATGTGAAACCTGTGTTTTATAGCCTCTGATAATAGCCTGGCTTTCTGGACCTTGTTGCATCAACTGCTAGTTTCATTCCAATATAACTGCTACCAAGGACCTGAGCTGACTGAAGTCAATAGCAGAAGTGAGTAACGGATTAGAGACACTGGCTCAGCATTGCAGATACCAACAGGGAGAAGCAGGATGTCAGGCAGCACATCGCCACAGAAAGCCGTGATATAGCAGCTGCTTAACTTACACGTTAGTGATATTACTTAAAAATATGGGGCAAACTTAAAAAAATACTTATTCTGCCTTTCTGGGGTTTTCAGCACTCTGTATTTTATGTTCTTCTTTTAGCATGTAACATTATTTCATTCCTTTTTTTCCCCTAGTACGAAATTATTCCAGGTAATTTAAAATTTTCCAACTATTTTACTTTTAGAAATTATTTATATAGTTTGTATCATCCTATTGCTGCTTAAATGTTTTCATATTCTTAAACAAAATGAGCCATGAGCTTATTCATATGAATTACTTTTCTTGGGATCATTTGTGTTATATATTCACCAAAATTGAGCTGGCTAATCAAAGAAACAACTAGTTTGTGTAGTATTTTTGTGTAGTATTGCTTTTCCTTGATACATGTTGAAAAAATATACTTCATAAAGCATGTTAGCTTTGAAAGTTTAGGGAGTATATTTGCATATCAATAATATTTTAATTTCAATTTGAAAACACTATGTACAAAATTGTGTGTAGGATTATAAAAACTAAAAAAAGGAAAAGGAAAGAAAAATGTGTATGTTTTAATTTTTTGGATTCTGTTTTTACCTCATTTGTCATTTTTAGTTTTTGTGATTTTTCTTTTAGAAACACAAGCAAACATTACAAACCCAAAGTGACACAACACGTAATTGCTGTGTTTTACACCCACTTTGGGGGACAAGAATCTGGGTTAACACCTTTTTTTTATACTTTTATGTTGTATTTCTTCAGACACTCACACTCACTGACACATAGCCCCACACCCATATGCATGCTCTATTTGAGGACGTAGTTTAGAATTCTGTGGGTCTCAGAAGAGTTGGTGAGCACAGGGATTAAGTTTTATAAGTGGTTGTAATTTAAACCCAGCTCTTCAGATACTAATTGAAGTTTTTGAGCACATCTTTATTCACTTCTATGCTTTATAATTTGCCACTCCTCATTTGAAATGACAAGACAAAGAAATGGACTTCTGAAAAACCAGATGGAAAAATTAGTAAACATTCACCTCACCCCAATTTAAATAATTTTTAAAGCAAGTTGGTTTCATTTCTCTTGCCCTTTTATTGTCTTCAGACTACCCCCTGCTCCCAGCATGAACAATTTAGTACTCCATAGGGGGGAAAACGGGCAGAATTTGTGTTAAAGAATGCTTTAGTCTCCTGCAACATAATACCTGACTCTGTAGCCTTTTGTTCTTTGAATATTTACTGAGCATAGTTTCATAACTTCAGGTGTTGGATTATTGTAAGCATTATAGTGCTTACATTGATTAGTCAGAAGAGGCAGATAACAAAAAAGTTAAGAAATAAGTATGGTGGTGTATGCTTTAAAGGAAATGAAACCACACACTGATAGTGAATGTGGGTATTGCTTTAGATGGGTCAACTAAGGAAGGCCCTACTTGATAATCTATAGCCTTAGTCTTTTTTTTTTTTTTTTTTTTTTTTTAGTACCGGGGATCAAACTCATGACCTCACACTTGCCAGCCTGGCGCTTATACCACTGAGCTAAATCCCCAGCCTGGAAGCTCCTACGTGGGAGGAAATATTTGAGATGAGCCTGAATGACAGTCATGTGAAACTCTAGGAGATAGGAATTAGGGGAAAGCTGTGCAAGGACCCTAAAACAACAATATACTTGGCACAGTAAAGGAACAGGAGGAAGGTTCAAGGGGCTGGAACTTAGGGTGCAAATAGTTGTCAAGTCTAGGTCATGCAGTACACTGTATGCATAGAGTGGATTTTATAGTTTTAGAATTGAAAAGCAGTAAAGAGAAAATAGAAAATCACACAGAAGACTTGTTTACCTCCTGCAGCATCTTTACCGTGAGTGCAAGAATATTTTAGGCCTCTCTTGCTGATAAAAGGTTCAGTTAGGTAAAGGGGGATAGTTAAGAGCCGAACCCATGAATTCTAGTTCTTCAACAATCATCTTTTAGGAATACAATAAAAATGACAACAAGGCGGGACATCTGATGGTATCAAAATGCATATAAAGAGTTGAAATTTTATTGCTTTATTGGTTTCTGGATAAAAATGACTATTTTTCGCCTAAATAAGTCACTCAACTGTTTAAATTCAAATTCAGTTTATTGAGCTGTCATTAGAAAATATTGAAAGTGCAATTATTCATTATACTAACCCCAGATCTTAAGCAAAATTAATCTTCTTGGATTTATTTTATCTTATTTCTCTTACAGAAGCAATTCCCTTAGGGTATAAGCATCTGCCTTTGATTGTAAATAAGGCACTTTTTAACTCTGTTCTACTGGGTACCATGGCACATATAGGTGATGTTGTTAGTGTAACTTTTTCTTAGGCTGGTTCCCTTAACAACTGTTTTTTTCTTTCATATGCAAGGTTGATGAGAACTTGAAAAGTGAGAGTTTCATAGGGAGCCTAGAAGTATATTGCTATAGGCATAATCATAATTTGTGTATTCAGTAATGATAAGAAAGATGGCTGCTTTTGGAATAATGTTTGTCTTTTTTCTTTGAATATCTATCACATGTTCAGTCTAAGTAAGAAGGAAGCTGCAATGGAAGACAGAGATGTAACATTATCTTATCTGTCACATTACAAGAATGTAATTATGGACATAAAGGTCAATTCTAGGAAGCTGCTCTTTGCAATCAGTAGATCTATAGAATTAGAAATTAAAGGAGGAATTAGTTATTTGGACTGGGTGCCTGATCTAGGTCAGGCTGCTATAATAAAATACCACACAGTGGGTGGCCTAGTCAAGAGCCATGTTTCTCATAGATCTGGAGGCTGTGAGATCCAAGTTGAAGGTACTAGCAGATTTGGTTCCTAAACAAGGTTGTTTTCCAGCTCAAAAGGCTACCCTTTCATTCTTTTCTCACTTGGGGAGAGAGCTCGGGGCTGTTCCTATTTTGGGGACACAAATTCCATCGTGAGGGTTGGCACCTCAGTGCCTCACGCAAACTTAATTATTCCCGAAGGTGCTACCTTCAGACACAATTACATTGGAGAGTATGGCTTAACGTACGAATGTTTTTGTTTTTGTCTTTTTGAGACAGGGTCTTGCTATGTCATTTAAGCTGGCCTTGAGCTCATTTTGTAGTCCAGGCTGACCTCGAACTTGGAACAATACTCCTGTCTCAGCCTCCCAAGTGCTAGGATTACAGGCATGCACCATGACACCTGGCTTAACATATGAATTTTAAGGCATCAAAAATATTCAGTCCTCAACTGTGGTCATAAGGGAAAGTGTAAGGAATAATTGTGCAACCAAAAGTCTGTGGTTTCCTGCATATTTCTCCCCTTTAACCTTTTTAATCTCTCCTTTAGAGCCTGCTCCAAAATTTAATCAATCAGGACTTTCACTGGATTGGTTTGAGGAAAAATTCTAGTTGGAGGTGGGAAGATGGATCACCTCTAAACTTTTCAAGGTAAAGGGCTTCAGAGGAGTGGGGAGAAAAAGAAAGAAGAAGAAAAAAGAAAGAAAAAGTTGGGGAGTTTGGGAAATAGATGAAAGGTAGCAGACAGACTGGAAATGAAAGGTTGAAAAGGAGAGGAGAAAAGGCCGCAAGGAAGGAAAGGGCAAAAATTAAATGATATTTTCAAGAGAGGCTAAGAAACAATTTTTATTTTTCTGTTTTGGGAGCTGAGGGACTGCATAAAAAGAGAGAATTTGTTCAATTTTTATCCCTTTGTACTTTTCAATTCCTTTCCTTTCATATTGCCAGAAGCGACTGACTTTTCTGATTTCTTATAGGATTTCTTCTAACAGCCTCGTACAGAGGTGTGGTGCTATCAGCAAAGAGGGTCTCCACGGCTCTAGCTGCGAAGTTCTCTTACAGTGGATCTGTAAGAAGGCCAGACTTTGATGGAATGCCGCTCTGCCCTGAGTCTCAGATCTATCATATATCTTTAAAAAGAAGGAAGTGGCCACTGGGATATGTTGGGCCAGGCATAAGTATGTATTTAGTGAATGCAAAACTGACTAAGATAGGGCATTGTATAGAAGACTAATGCTGTTTCCTAGGAACTGAGGCTTCACTGATGGATTATCTTTGAGATTATTTCAGCATTACGTGAATAGTTTACATCCCAGATTTAGATAAATTTATGAAATACATAAAAGTTTGCTTTTAGGTGTTTACTCTAGCAACTTGTGCTGGCTGCCTTATCGCTACTTTCGTCTCTGTCAAACTTACACTTTTTCCTTCATCAGCAGATTAATGGATAAAGAAAATGTGGTCTATATACACAGAAGAAAATTACTGAGCTATAAAAATGAATGAAATCTTGTTATTTGTAGTAACATTGATGAGCTAGAGGACATTCTGTTAATCCAGACATAGCAAGACAAACCCTTTATGTTCTTACTCCGGTATGTAAGCTAAAAACCAGTTGATCTCATATAAGCAGAGAATAGAATAGTGGTTACCAGAGGCTAGGAAATGGAGAGGGTAATACAAGTTACTTAACAGATTTGAGGAGTAATTTCTAGTATTTTGTATCACAATAGGGTGACTGTAGTTAACAATAATTTATTATGGACTTCAAAACTGCTGGAAGGAGGACTTTGAGTGCTCCCTTATGTTTGAAGAAATGGAAGTGCTAATCACCTTATTTGATCATTACAACTTTGTGCAAGTGTTGAATACCACACTGAACCTCATAAATGTCTGCAATTACTATGTACTAATTAAAAATAAAAACCAATAAGACAAATAAAAATGTAAAAATATGTCTTTCTATGTTATATTATGAGTTAATCTGAAGAAATATGTAAATATGTACTATTGCTGGTATACTATTGTGTATAACACATATATGAATATAATGCATGCAGGGAGATTTTATGTGTTAATGGATTAACAGGCTAAGTGTTCCTACTCATACACATTTATCTACAGTAGCCCTTTGTAGATGAAGTTTCACTCTTTTTTTAAAAAAAAAAATTTTTTTTTTTCCGGTACCAGGGATTGAACTCTCGACCGCACACTTACAAGGAAGGTACTTATGCCGCTGAGCTAAATCCCTAGCCCCAAAGTTTCACTCTTAACAATATACTGGGAGAATACACATTGTGAAAAGTAGGTGAGGACAGGGTACTTTCTGCTTTTTGGCTCTTCACACTTACCGAAAGATTACACTTGACTGAATCTGGTTTTTCTGAATATGCATACATGTGGTTGAATAAACCAATGTGTGAATGTATCTTTTTTTATGCAGTCAATGTGTTATTGGCATATTAATTTCATGATAGTTAATCTGATGAGGCATTTTCATAGAGGAAATTTTACAGGAGCAGTTTATGTGGTTGAGGCCTCAAAATGAGAAAATTTATTATTTCACCTTGTAGAGTATGACACTATTAGAGAAGGTGCTATTTAAAGATACAAGAAACGATAATGAAGTACGCCCTGATTCTGCCTTGTTGGTGACATTGAATTGTCCAAGTTTGCCTTCATCCTTCACATTTTTTAAAGAACGTGCACTGTATTTTCTAACACTGCATCTTAAACATTTGAGATAGTGCTTACATTCAGTGAATATCAAATAAATATATAGATTAATAAAAAAATAAAGATTTAAAAATACTTATTCTAATTATTTATTGTAGCCCATAAATTAGAGAGGCTAAAGGCAAGAACAACACTGTGTCCTAATTCTTTTTTTTTTTTTTTTTAAACTTTTTTATCGGTACTGGGGATCGAACTCATGACCGCCTGCTTTGCAAGGCAGGTGCTTATGCCAGTGAGCTAAATCTCCAGCCCCTGTGTCCTAATTCTAAGTCACCTGTATAAGCATTGATTGTGGACTCCATAGGCCTCCAGTGGCCAGTTAACTGCTATCAACATGATAGCAGGAAGCAGTGGAAATAGGCTTACATCCTCTGTAATCTAGAAAGGCTGGTTCTGGGCAGAGGTAACCCTAAAAACTGCATGTGGGGGCTGGGGATTTAGCTCAGTGGCATAAGCGCCTGCCTTACAAGTGTGGTTGTGAGTTCGATCCCCGCTACCGATAAAAAAGACAAAAAAACACAACAAAGCTGGATGTGAAGGTAGTGAGACCCACTGTGTTAGGGATATAGTATCAGTGTTTCCACTTAGATCATGGTTTGTCTGCTTATTAGGATGCATGAATTCATTATTATTAAGAAAAGCAAAGGCGTGCAAAAGGCCTTTGAATTGTCATCTGAACCGGCAGGATGTGTGCAGCTCTCCTTTGTGCAGTTGAGTCCTCTTGAAGGATTTCTTACCTATTACCAGTACTGGGAGTGGTTCTTCACAGCTTTGTCTTGCTTAAGGATGCTGCAGTGGAAACTGCAATTCATTTCCTAAGCATTCATTGATTCCTTAGATGTATTCATTAGGGTTAGGGGCTAAGGTTGATTAGGATGCAATGCTTTTACCTTGTCTAGTGAAATAAAGTTTGTTAAAGCTGGAAATTAAACATTTTCTATTAGTGCTTAAATTCCACAACTGATCCCTTTGCTGAATATTATACAATAAACTTACCAGGAAAACCAGTGTAAAATACATATATTGAAGTTACTACACAGTAACAAATGAAGGAAATCCAGAGAGACAGGGACAGGGACAGGGACAGAGAGAGACAGAGAGAGACAGAGAGAGAGAGAAAGGGGGGGGGCAAGCTCTGTAGAGGCTACAACTAAAACACATCTGAGGGCTCAATAGGAAAAGGAACTAAGATAATACAATCCTTGTATTGCTGTAAAAATGATACAAGGCTATTGTACATTTTACTTTTTATTTTAATGCACTTTAAAAAAATAATTCTTTGGGCATTAAGTACAGTGATTAATCAAACTCCTCAGTTTGTAGTCTGTATCTTTATTAGCTCATATATGGGTCTCTCAGGTGCTACTTACCTTTTTCTTATATGCTCACTTCCAGTCTCCTGTCCTCCAAGGAAATATCCTTTGAAGCCTTCCAGAATCCTTGAGCATTCTTACATTATTGTGAAATATGTCGTTTTCTTATTTATGTCATATTTAATTATATTTTAGTGTTTTACTTTTTTCACTACCATTATGCTTTTGAGATCTAGCTATGCTGCTCTCCGTGCATGGTTTCAGCCTTTTACCTGCTGCATACTCATTTGATCTATCCAAACTCCTTATAATGGGCACCTGGGTTGCCCTCAATTCCTGTCTGTCCCAAACAATGCTGGGATAAATATTACCCACCTGTTCCTATTCCTAAGTCTTTCCCACCTCAGGAAATGTCTGCAGCATCTATTCTATTGTTTAAGTTCCAAACCAAAGAGTTTATTGATTGTTTTTTTCCTCAATACATAAGCAAATATTTTGTCTGTACTACCAAAGTATATTTTAATTCTCATGACTTTTGCCCATCTTTTAACTTTAGTTTAAATCACCATCATTCACCTGGATTATAGTGACAATTTCTTAACCACTCCCACTTTTGACAATAGTTTTATTGAGGTACAATTGATATACAATGAATAAAACATATTTAAACAGTAACTTGTTTTGTGGTGCTGGGTATTGAACACAGGGCCTTATACAAGTTATATACTGTACTGAGCTACATTTCCAGCTTTTTTTTTTAAATTTTAAAAAGAATAAAACAAAAGAGAACAGAACAAAACAAATCAGAGCAATGCAGGCAACATAGCACTTCACAACAAGACAATCAGACATCAACAGTAGCTACCATAATGTCTCTTTTCTTTGAAATAGTTGAGCATACCTTCACACACAATAATATCAAACATAACAAAATAGTATAAAACCACTCAAGAGATTGAAAGCATTACAGGACTTCAAAACCAAATAACAGGAAATGAACAATGGCTACTATAATATCTCATTTTCCTCAAAATATTTGTCTATACCATCACATAATAAAATCAAATAAAAACAACAGGATAGAACCAATCAAAACTGAAGAACAAATGCATGGTAGGACCTCAAAACAAGATGATAGGAAGTCAGCAATGCTGCCGTAATGTCTTGTTTTCTTCAAAATAGCTATTCATACCATCACACAATAAAATCAAACAAAACAGAATAAAATCAGTCAAATCAATGAATGAAAGCATTATAAGACTTCAAAGCAATATAATATGAAACCATGATTACCATAAAATATCCCATTATATTCAAAATAGCTGCCCCCACCATCTGACAGCATAAAATCTAACAAAACCAAGAACAAAGCCAAACCTAACAAAATTGTGTAAACGATGCAAGAGTTCAAGATAAGACAATAAGAAATTGGCAGTAGTTTCCACCTTTCCCTTCCAGGTGTTTCCTCCCCTTTGCTCTTAACTATTTTGCTTTTTGGATCCCATCAACTCCTTCTGTTTCTTATGCTAGGGTTCATACATATGAGTTCGAATTTTTTTTGGCCATAAAAATGATTTCTAGTTGCATCCATTGACCTATAGAAGCCTTGAAATTACTGTACTTTATAGCTGGGTAGCTTTCCACTGCATGAAAATACCATACCTTTCTTATCCATTCTGCGATTGATGGGCAAATTACTCTTGCTTTTTTGGTCTCCTGTCCATGGAACAATTGGTTTCTCTCCTTTGATTTTCAGTCTATGGGTTTTCTTTCCAGTTAAATGGATCCACTCTCCTTGTGTTTCTTTTTATTGCTGACCTGAGGCCATCTACATTAATGGTTACAACCAGTACACATTGGTTTGTCTCTGCCCTGCTGTCCTCCTGTTGTTGTTCCTCCCCTTTCTCCCTTCATTCAATTGCCTGTCTTGTTTGGCGATCCTCCTCTGCTGCTATTCCTGAAATCATGGTCATCTTTATCTCTCTCTAGAATATTGTTTAGCACTATGCAGGGTTGGTTTGGTACTCATAAATTCCTTCAGTTGTTCTTTATCATGAAAGTATCTTATTTTTCCATCAATTTCAAAAGATAGTTTTTTTGGGTAGATCAATCTGGGTTGGAAGTTGTTTTCTTTCAGGGTCTGAAACACTTCACTCCAAACTCTTCCTGACTTGATAGTTTGTGTTGATAAGTCTGCAGTGATTTTGATTGGTTTCCCTCTAGGTGACCTGTCTCTTTTCTCTAACAGCTTTTATAGTCTGTTCTTGTTCTGAATTTCTGGGATCTTATTATATGTCTGGGTGTAGATTTACTTTGGTTATGGCTAGTTGGAATCCTATATGCCTCACTTATCTACATGCCAGATCCATTTCCCATGTTTGGGAAATTTTCTTTTATTACTTCTGTGAATATCCATTTAATTTCATTTGTGTTGACTCCTGCTTCTTCACCTACGCCTGTCACTCTTAATTTATGCTTCTTTGCACCATCTTTCAGCCATTGAGTTATTTCCTGATTCCATGTTATTTTAAAGAGATCTTTCCTTTCACAGTCACTAGCTGCAAGCCTATCTTCAAGGTTTGAGTCTATCTTCAATCTCTTTCAAATTGTTTAACCAGCTTTCAATTGAATTTTTAATGTCCTGGATCTTTCTTTGAATCTGTTTCATGCATTGTAATTCCTTTCTACATTCATTCAAGCTTTCCATCATTTTCCTATGCTTCTCTTTTTTGGTCAGTGTCTTCTTTAGACCTGTTGAACAATTCTTTCAGTATGTTTGTGATTTCTTCTTTTACCTGAGACATTATTTCTGATTTGACTGCTTTTACAATCTCATGAAGTTGTTTCCTTACTTCAGTTGCTATCCTCTCAGAGATTTCAGGTGTGTGACTTTCATTTTTTTTCCA